CCGGTGTTCTTCCCTCCTGGTTCAAGGTACTTTCCTTTTGCTCCGGTTTTCTCTCATTTTGAGCCCGTGTTTTACTGTCTTGTTCCGACGTGTCCTCCTCCTGCTCCAACTTATTCTTTCCCCGCTCCGGCGTACTTCTCGCATGATCCGGCGCACTCTCCTTCTGCTCCGACTTGCGCTCCTTCTCATTCGACGCATTCTTCTTCCCTCTCGATTTTTCCATTTTATCTAAAATGTTCTGCGTTGGATGCGTAATAATCATGAGACGAATGAAGACCCAGTGATCTTCCTACTCCCTTTCGCCTCACTACAGCAATCGCACCCAAGATCTAATAGCCATGATCACACAAAAACTTTAGTCAAAGCCCCTTCAAATCCACACGCCTCTGCTTGCCAATTTTGTAAGACAAATAAGGAGATAGAAGAGCGCGGCAATGCGCTATAATCTAGTGCCTTCGAAATCACTGAAATGAAGATATGTTGTGAGATCACTGCACAGTAGAGCTTACAACTGATCTCCTTTAACCTACAACGTTTATGCTTAGTTTTCTGGCATTTCTAGCAAAGCCTTATATAGGCAGGAAAGAAATACAAACTTGATCAAATTTCAGTGCACCGCCAATTCAGATTTTGAGCGATCCAGTAGGATATGTTCCTGCTTCACCATGCAAGCCATATTAACACGTTTACTATAATTAATAATGCTTGACTGGAGCGCTGCAAAAATTCACTTTACAATTCAAAATACCACATGTAATATGCACATGAGAAACACTGAGCTCTTTCCCATATCTTGCACAAAATGAAGGATTCTTTCCAGCATGCAGTAACGACAACTCGTTGATGATGTTCTAGGGGAGCAATTACTAGTATGCTTCACCCTCCAGACCTTGCTCAACGTTAAAAGAAAACAGCAAAATGAGCTCAGATTGGGTTTTTTCAGGTCGCTGCTTCTGTTACGTGCTTAGTTCTAAACAAAAACATAAAAGACATTTTCTGCATCTTGAACAACTTCAGAGCAAATCGGCACAGTATGTAAGAGGATGCAATCGCTGCTTACCTCGACATTTGCGTCGTTTTTCATTGAGCTCTGCAAGAAAACGACTTTCCTGTTGATAATTACATACTGCCAGCAGAGATTACTGTAGCATTCATGACACTGTATTCGCAGATCCAGCACC